ACTTTATAAAAAATATACACTTATCACTAAGCTGTAAAAGACCTTTTAGTTATAAACAGTTTGCAGCTGTGTCAATAAATGCAGTTTCTGTTGTTCTGTACTAGATAACAAGTTTGCTTACCAAACTGGATGTGATTTCTGTTATAAATACCCCCTTGCTACCTACGTTCAGGGCCGATCAGCCTTCTCCTGCGAGAGAAGTGGCTGATGGACCTGAGCTCAGTAAATAAAAGGCTCTATTGAAATCTCTATCTGGCTGATCTGGTTCCTATGCAGAGTTGACCCATAACAGTTACTTTGGTCTTCTAAATGCATGCTGCTTCTAATGTCATATAAACTGTTGCCATACTTTGGTTAAAGTGAATGTTTATAAAGAAAAAAGATAATAAAAGAAAACAAAAGACAAGAAGAAAAACATCATAGGATTGTCCTGCTACAATGTTGTATATGGTTTAGTTTCTAAATTTCTGTGTAGAGGTATTAGTTTTTTTTCACATTCTATAAGGATTTAAAGTTTAGAATATCAATAGTTGTTGGAAAATAGCAGTTCCATGCTATGTCTAAGGCGTTTGATATTCAGACAGAGAGTGATGTTAAGCTCAACTGCCTGCTACAGGATAATAATATAATTAAGCCTCTCTTCTGGATGTTTAATGCCTAAAGTTTGCAGACCAAAAATTAGAGAAAAAGGAGGGCTACAAAGATAGCCAGTATTTTGGCCCTAGTCCTGCAAGGTCAGGGAGGACTTGGGACATAAGAGAACCTGTGCTGTGACATTCTGTAACTCAGTGGTATCCAAGATTATCTGATCAAGGAGATTATGGGGCCACAGAGGAAAGTGATCAGTGATGTAGAGTATGCCTAAGGAGAGTCACCTTGAGAGAAAAAATTTCTCTCAGGCTTTCACAGAGAACAAATTGGTCAAGAAATGGCCGTGACTCATACAGATGCTGACACTGACAAAAGATCTACAAGGTACTGTACATGATTCCAGGGTAAATCCTGAAGGGATGTGACTGATCTTGTAAGATACAAAAGGTACAGTTTTAGTTATATAGGTCTTGATTTAACTTGGTCTTAACCATCCAGCAGAAAAGTATAACCACGAGGCTTAAAAAATAATGCCATATTAATATGCTGAGCCATAAAAGACTCAAGTGAACTTCTGAAATTTGCCAGTTCTGCTGATAACCCACTATTATTATGGACTATTGGACTATATTGGGTTATTTTGCTGAATTCTGGTACCTACAATCTTTGGACTGGCTTAAAGTATGAAAAGGTCCTTTAAAGACTTCTCCAAATACTATTTCTCTATCTGCGGTGTAACACCCATCTCTGACAAAACAAAATGAGAAAGGGAGCCACGAAGCTAGGAAGTTGACCAAATATGTCTAGGTGGGACTAGGCCCAGTGCCTAAAGCAAACAAGCTATCTCACTTCTGAGATGCACATTCTGTCTGGTTAAGGTTAGCTACCAGTTGCTAGGCAACCAGTGTCAAGTGTTACTAACTTCACAAAAGTGTAAATAAAGGACCATTTTGTTGTGGAAAAAAATATGTATACAGAAAACATGATAGATATACACCTACTTTAGTTTCTTTGAATAAAGGTTTGTACCAATATTATTCAGTCAAGATATCATGTCTGCATCTTGTCCTGTGAATAACTACTATGAAGACAATATGCAATGTATTACTGTAACTGTCTTATTAACCTGTTTTGAAACTGTTTCATTGCTATTTTCTTTTTTCTCATTAAAATAAATACTTTCGCTCAATTCAATGAGAAGAGGGATTTATACTAAGTGTTTGGACAGGATATCCTGTCTGCATCTTGTACTGTGGATAACCACTAAGCAGATAACAATGTACAATGTATTAATTATTGAAACTGTCCTATTAATCAGTTTTGAAACTGTCTTATTGCTATTTGTTTCTCGATAAAATAAAGTAAAAATACAAAAAATAAAATAGAAAAAAATGGGTAAAGCTACATCCATACTGCATGGTTAATTGGTTATGTGATAGAGGTTTTCACAACTGTGCAGTGCAGTGGGGACAGCCAAAGATCCTCTAAGACTCCTAGATGGGGAAGAGGATCCAACAGCATTATCTCTGTAGCTTTAATTCCCAGCTCAAACATTTTCTCACTGGTTGTACAATAACTTAAACCTTATTCTATTTCACCACACTGGACACCACCAATCAAAAGAGTGTTGTGATCACCAAATTATCACAAGATTAAAAAAAAGAAAAAGTCCTTTCCTCCTGGGTGAAGGATGTACTCTGGATGTTCTCCTGTTGTTATCAGTTTATGCCCATTTCAGAAAGTAGATTACAGAAGTCTGTAAGATTAAGCATAGGTCTGAAGAGGAGCTAAAGAGGCAAGTAGGACTGAAATGTGCCTGCTCTCCTGATCCTCAGTGCTTCTAACACGGGGTTGAAGCTGCTTTGAGGAAAGTCTGTCTTTGTATACAATCATCACAGCCCAAGAACAGCATGGCAAGGAATTTGGGGCTTTGTGAGACTGCTCACTTCTGACTCTTAATGGAAAACCTTGGGGCATATACTGCCAAAGGCAAGCCTCACCCCCACTTTTTCCATTTTATTAGTAAACATGATGGAAAAGGATTATAGCATCTATCATATTGCAGGTCACAGACCCATTGGCCACTCTTCCTTTTCTACAATGGGGAAAGTGCCCACTTCTTTTTCTAATACTTTAGTTTTCAAGGTGTTCATTATTACTGTCTTTTGTATATAGCTTTTGTTTGCAAAGAACTAATCATTACCCTGAAAAAGTATTTCCCTTCAACAACTTCTTTTGTAGATGATGAACTCACTCACTTTTAAAGGTTATCTGAACTCAACTTTAATTTCATACAAAGGAAGTTATCTGTATTGAGGATATCTAGTGTTACTAAGTATATCATGGTTTCTGCTTCTCAATAATCTGACCAGGCACTTCCTGTGGACAAGGAACTGACAAAAGATTGGGAAGAAATTCAAATTTTAGATAAGATTTCCTGGGAAACTTTTTAATGTAATGGCAAAGGTTGTAAAAAAGTCAAAGAAATGAAGATGGAGAACTTTCCTACAAAACATTACTCAGATTTCATAGAATTCTCAAAGATACTTGGTTTCCTCCCACAAAATACAAGGCTGTCAACAGAGTTGGCCTATTATGTGGAAATATCAAACAAAACAAATGTCATCATTTCATGCAAACACAAAGAGCAAAACTAAATCAGTTTTGGGTCATTCTGTTTATTTCATTTAGGACATTTAGAGAATATTAACTAGGGCACTTAAAAGCCATTTCAATTAGGAACCTCTTCAGTCCTCCATCAATTATTTCTAGTATCTTAGTCTCAAATACATCCCTTTCTTCTACAAACTTCTGAAAAAGATGAACACCTCCACCAACACCAAAATAATGTGCTTTGCTGGCCAAAAGAACCCGCCCACCTTTACTCAATAGTCTATGGAATGTCTGGTGCAAAGTAGTATAATAATCTGGATTATAAATGGTTTCAGAGGTAAGAATGAGGTCATATTTTACAAAGAGATTTTCACTGCTTAATATAAGCTTACAAAACTCAGACCACTCTCCAGAAAAGAACCGGCATTTACAAAGTTCTTGTGCTCCTTCTGACTTTCTGCATCTTTTCACATCTGGTTCACTTACATCACTTTCCTTATCTTCCAAAGTGCAATTAGCAACTACATTAGGTAAAGTCACTTCATCAATCACCAAACTGTTATAATCTTGAAAATGAATTTCTTTGGCCCCTCCCTTGAATGCAGTTATACCCAGCAATCCTGATCCACAGCCAAGATCTAACACTTTTTTCCCAGCAAATTTTACTTTGGCCTTTGTGAAATAAGCCAAGAGATCAAACGTACATTCCCAGATTTTTAAGCCTCCTTCATAAACACCTGTAATCAGATCAGAGTGAGAAGACAAGCTTTTGGAAATTATGTTTTCTTCAGGAAAGTTTTTTTTTGACCAGGCAGTTTTCACTACTGGTATGTTAACATGTTGAAGATCTGGTAACATTTCTATGACTTTATTTTCTAACACTTTCTTCAAATCTTTAGGAATAGCATGTTCTTTGGCAGCTCCCAGGCAGGGTTGCTTTTCCCTTGAGTCCGAGTCCCTTGCACTATTGGCTGCACTGACTGGGCTGTCATAATCTTGAGAGGGCTCTACATTTCCCGTTGTCCTGCATTGCCACAAGTGCTCTGGAGGCAGGTCAGACTGTTCCATAGACTGTTTCCTCTCTTTCTGTCCTCCTTTTTGACTTTTTGAGGTTGATGACCCTTTTGAGGGATCCAGAGTCAAAGCTCCATCTTCAAGGCATGTTAATTCATTTTCTTCTTCTTCTATATTGAAATTAAATTGAAAGTTCATCTTCTTATTAAATGTACACAATTCTTAAATTCAAAGAAAGACTCTGTCAAACTTCTGAATAAATCTGATGACACACAGAAACTTGCCTCGATTATTCCCACTGAAGTCAACTTCTCTTAAGCTGCTCATATACCACTACAGACATTTAGAGATACTTCCAAAAACTTTCTTGTTTGTTTGAGACAGGGTCTTGCTCTGTAGTCCAGGCTGGTCTTGAACTCACTATGTAGCCCAGGCTGGCCTTGAATAAGCAGGGATCTTCCTGCCTCAGACTCGAGAATGCTGGATTACAGATGTGTGCCACCACTCATGGCTTTGAAGACTTTTTAAAGAGGTATTTGATTTTCTTTCATTTGACCCTAGAGAAAAAATAAAATGATGATTAAAGCAAAATGGCATATTTCACTGAAATGAAATACTAAACCCTTTACCTACTCTACCTAGCTGCTTTTTCTAAAACAGCTATGGGAAGAGAGATTTGGGGACTCATACACATAACTTAAATTCAAAAACTGGAGGAGAAAATAAACTATAAAAATAAATCAAAAATAAGGGCCAGGGAGATGGCTCAGTCGAATAAGTGCTTGCATGGCAAGTGGAAGGTCCTGAGTTCAATCCCTAGTATTGGAGAAAAAAAAAAAAGAACAACAGTACAGCAGTCACTGCCACGACTACTAGAACAAAGCCCATGATTCTGAAATTGGTCATCCTAAATACTTGGCGTTATTCAGCAGTCCTGGATATGCTCCCTGAACCTCTAAAATTTCTTTCTGTCACTGCCTCAAAACAGAAGTTCAAGATTATAGTTTAGTAAATGAACACTGCTTTTAAAATAAACATTTACAGGTATGAGCAGAAGTATGTAAATTCAACCAAATGATTTTACTTCAAATATCCTTTCC